TAACAGTTTGAATTCTTTTTTCAATAAAATACTAATAAGGTAAATTAGGAGCCGTTTTTATCGAGTCATCAGTAGGCAAGGATGAGAAAAGAAAGAACAACGCTATCTTTTACGCATGATTATTTTGCAGATTCAATGTTTAAAAGTATTTATCACGGGAAGAAGGCTTATGAAGGTTAGGTTTTGTAATGAAGTTATGCACTGTTCTAGTAATTAAGAAAATCATGTTATTTTAAAAACTAATATTTTATATTTTGATAAAAATGTAGATGACTTTGTAGAGGTTCTAAAGAGAGCAACTGATATAGGTGTGCAAAAGGTAATGTGTGTATAATAATAATAATAATAATAATAATAAAAGTAATGGTAAAGGTGATGATGATGATGATGAAGATGGATAAAGTGAAGGTAATGTGAGCTGCAGAAATACAAAAATTACATGAAGATATGATCGTCACGGTCCTCTTCAAAATTTTTAAGAGATAGTAAATCAAGCACCCCCCCTCCCCCCAATAATACTAATTGGGGATTTCGAATGGGATTCGAATGGAACTCATGGTCTCTGCAATATCAAAATTACAAAAAAATGCAGTGCTCTACCAACTGAGTTATGGGGAACCTCGTCATTGGGAGCAGGTCAGTTTGTTGAGTTCATCTTTAACTTTGAAAGGAATGAAACAATGAATGAAGATGGTGATGCGACCTCAGAAATGCAAACTAATTTAAATGAAGATAGTAATCATTGCAGTTGCAAGCTTGAAAAACCATCACCGTCATTTTGCGTTATATTCTTTAAATATGGTTTCAAAAAGAACTTTTTGCTGAATAAATAGTTCTCCATCTCAATATGGGGGCTTTTCAAAACTTTCTGTCCGTATTCAGATGAAGAGTTTTGCACTAAGTGTATGGAAAAAACTAAATTTTAACATTTAAAAATTGACACCATACATTGATAATTAACTTAAAACTGCCGTGGAACAAAATACTAAAAGAAATAAAAAGGATAAGCCCCATCCAACCAAACATCTATAACATCCAATAAGCCTGTCCATGGAAATACTCAGAAAACAATTATTTTAAGTATTCATTCAGTAAAAAACTGTACTCCCCAATTTGTTGCCAAAGCTGTCAGAAATTGACGACTAGCCTTGATCTTTTCTTGTCTACTGAATTGCAGGCAAGATGGTGGCGCGGAAAGGCTCCGCGAGACACGAAGTTTTTCTTGTTGTTCTTCTAGTTAGCCTGAGAAGTCTAACCAGCTCATATATACTTACTGTTATCCAACGCGATGGTAAATCTGCAGGAAAGCCGTACCCCCGAATGTTTTACAAATCACAACCATTTTTGGCGCATTATTGTTCGTGGCAATGTCGGTGTCAACTACAGGCTCTTTGAACCATAGCCTTATCGTGTTCTACAGCAACTCATGCGCTATTTTCCAACTAAGTAGGCTGAAATTACAAGGTTTAATCCATCCAATCCATTCAACGTCCACTGCAAACTCTAGGACTTGTCGTCATGATATTGAAGGACAACTAAACATCAGTTGGCTCGACCAAACGCTCGGTCAACAAGAAAGACGAACTATAAGTTCTCAGAGTTCTTGCCTTACATGCGGATTTGCTGGCTATTACCGAGACATGGCTAACTACGGAAATCAATTAACAGTTGCGAGATTCTGCCCAACATGGATTTTGCCATTAATAGGAGAGATTTTTGACCAGCGTCCCGTGCAGGAGGCGTCCTTTTAGCAGTCTGTAATACTATTCCGAGCCTTAAAAGACCTGATATGGAAACTTCGGCTGAAATTCTTAACTGTCGGAAGCTTCGTCCATCATATAAGAAAAAGATCTTAATGGCAGTATTCTACCGCCCTCCATCCTCTAACTGTTCGTACTTGACTGAGTTCACAAAATGTCTCCGCGAAGGTTCCAGGGCGAAATTGGATCAACTCTTCATTGTTGGTGATTTTAACCTACCAAATATTGACTGGTCCATTAGGATCTATTCCACCGATAGCGACATTTATAACCTCTTCACCAAGTCAATCAAGGATTACTTTGTCTGGCAAGTTGTCGATTTTCCAACGCGACATTAAAATTCATTGGATTTGGTGCTCACAAACATTCCCGATAAGATTGTTAACATCGTAGGATTTTACGATATTTTGGAGTCAGACCATTAATTCATTAAATTTTGCACTGACGTTCGAATCGGAAGAAATCCCCAAGTCAAACGACAAGTATATTATTCCTAGAAAGCTGGCTTGTCAGGCCTCAAAAGTGAACTCAGTTTAATTGACTGGGATTTACGTTTTGTGGAAAACGATATAAACGCTTCGCTTCCCAACCTGTCTCATGTAATTCTCACGGCTGTTGACCAACACATTCCAAAAAGCAAAGCGCAAAATGCAAATGAGCATACCTGGATCGATCACGAATTTTTTTAATTCATTAAAGTCAAAAACAAGGTGAGAACTGCAGTAAAAAAGTGGAAGAGCGATGACCAAAAGAAGTTCAGACAAATAAGACGCGAGGTTAAAGCACTTATCAACGGCCAACGTTTTGTATCTAACCACAAAAACAAAGCAGACTTATCAAACTGCTTTTTTCAATCAGCCTTTACCGCAAACGATGGCACAACTGATTCCGCCTGGAGACTACTGCTATACTCGCCGATCACTCGAGCGAACTTATTTTATCATCAGACAGAGGTGGCAAAAGTTTTGAATGACATCGATCTTGCCAAAGCGCCTGGTCCGGACAACATTGGAGGTCGATTGCTAAAGGAAACGGCGCCCGAAATTTCCGTCTCTCTCTGCCGCCTGTTCAACCTTTCGCTATCACGGGGTGAATTCCCAGATCAGGGGAAACTGGCAAATGTTTGTCCTGTTTTCAAAAAAGATGACCCAGCGCTAGCCAAAAAGTATTGTCAAATTTCTTCATTATCTATCTCGTCCAAATGCTTTGAAAGATGTGTTTTCAATCATTGTTATCCGCACATTTTGCCTCGGCTATGTCACCTGCAACACGGATTTCTCAGGGGAAGGTCCACTGTCACTCAGCCTGCTCAAGTCAATCACGAAGTCATTAATGCCTTCGCTGAAGGCAAAGAGATTGATGTGGTTTATTTAGACTTTGCCAAAGCGTTCGACAAAGTCCCCTACTCAACCGTGATCAACAAGTTGTCTCGCTTTTGTATATTAGGCCAGTTGAAACAATGGTTCCAGAGCTATCTCTCCAACAGATCTCAGCGAGTAGCGCTACAGGGTACCTATTTCAACTTGCTTCAACTTACTGTTGAAGTAGCTCAAGGTTCCCTATTGGGCCCTTTACTGTTTCCCGCCTATATCGACGATATTCCACGATGCACCCAACATGACTATAAAATAGCAATTTCGCTGACGACTCCAAATGATACAAGATCATTTCGAAGCCTTCTGATAAGATCTCTCTTCAGAAACTTCTCTCCAACTGGAGTCACATCTGGGCAATGAGTCTCAGCGTGCCAAAGTGCCAAGCCCTAAACATCTCCAGGAAAACAAACACCGTCATACAGAGAATAGCACCTAGATGGGACCATACTAACCACAGCTAGCGAAACCATCGACTTGGGCATAACCATTCTGGACAACCTTCTGTGGTCTTAACATATAAATTTTATTTATTTATTTATTTATTTAGTCACTCACAAAACCTTATACAACATAAACAAAAGGTGTTACTTAAATTGTAAAATTAATGTGACAAGGAAGCCTAACGAAGCTTGAAGCTTATATTAATAGGCTTCCTTCAACTCCCTAGTGAACTAAATTCATGGCTGAGTGCAGAGTGAGCAAGATCACAAAATTAAGCGACAAATCGGCTATCAGTGAGATAATTCGTTAAATTTTTTTAAAAAACAAATATAGAAGGAGAGCTAATTAGTGAAACAGGCAACGAATTCCAGATTTTAGGTCCTCGGTAAAGGATACTGAATTGCTCTATATATTTGTTCTACAAAAATGAGGTCTATACTGAGAGGCTAGTCGAGTTTCGTATTGATGGACTTGACTACTACTTAAGAACAAGTCACGAAAGCTAATAGGCAAAAGATTATGGTGATAAGAATACATAAAGGTATCGACAGAAAATGAATTAATACTAAATATGTCAAGGACTTTAAGCTGGCTAAATAAAGGGGCGGTATTTGCTAGATAGTGACCTTTTCCTTATGAGCCGCACTAGACGCTTTTGCGAAAGGTAAATACAGTTTAGGTTGAACAGTAGGTGGAGGACCAGGCGACATTACAGTATGTTAAGAAGGGATATACAAGGGAGTAATACAATGTCATCAAAGTTTGGGCTGATAGGTAAAAGCTGGCTTCCGCAATAATTCCCACACTTTTGGAAATTTTTTTTGAGACGAAATCAATATGTGGTTTCCAAGAGAGATGCTGATCAATGAGAACACCTAAAAATTTTGTCTCCGTGACTTGCTTGATCACAGTATTTTCCAGAGTAAGAGGGACATTAACATTGACTTTCTTTTGCCTTGGATGAAAAATCATAAAATTTGTTTTAGTCAAATTTAGAGATAACTCATTCACTTTAAGCCAAATAATTATTTTTGCAAGTTCATTGTTAACAATAGAAACGAGGTGGTTGGCATCTTTATGGGAACAAGATACTTGTGGCATCAGCAAACAGTAAAGATTGAGTGAGACTAGGGACATTAGGAAGATCATTAATGTAAATAATAAACAAAAGAAGTTTCTTAGGAATCGATTTTGCGATAAATATTAGCGATAAAAAATCACGACGTTTCGACCTCTCCGAGGTCATTTTCAAGCGTATAAAAGTTCTCTAAATTAGCATAGATAAGTTAAAAGCAAGTTATAATAGATAAAAATGTGGTGAACGCTAAAATGTGATAAAATATGTAAAAATGTAAAAAGTGCTAAAAAAATATTTATAAAGTCAAAAAACAATGGAAATAAAACAATGTTAACAAGAACTACTCTAAACAAATAATTTGGCGCGAATTGAATCGCACTGTTTGTTAAGTGTCGGTTTCAGTTCTTGGATAAAAAACATTTCAAAAATAAGGCAGTCAAATTTGTTCTGACACTTTCTTAAGAGGCTGTCCGCGTAAGAACCGATAAGGCAAATTTCGTTGTATCACGGATTGCCCTGATTTTTTCAGTGGAAGATAACTATCCTATCCCATGAAGAAATATCACATTTATTTGGACCAACTCAATTTTTTCTCTATATTACAGGAAGATTTTCTCGGTCACCTAAAACTGGTCCGTTTGCCTTCAGAAGTGGTGCGATTTTGGTGAATTTTTAGGGCTCTGTCAAACCTACCTTACAAAGCCGAATAAGCTGATTATTTTACACACAAATGTTTTAACTCTCATTAACAGTGTCAAAGTTTAATGGTTGCATTCTGTCGAAATTTGGCTGAGATATGATTTTTTTTAAATGACCGTTAATTTGCTCAGCAGGAAAAGTAATTTGCATAACTAGAGCTGAACGGTAATTTCGCGAAAGTGGCACCTGACCCAGACTCAAGTCTGTGATAAATCAGAAGTACTAAGACCAGTCTACTTCTTAATGCAATAAAATTTGTGGGCACTCTTCTCTGCGCGCTGTACAAAGTTCCGTTAATGTTACAAATTCGCCACTTTGACAGCAAAGCTGGAATTGTAACGGTCCGCATTTGATCGACTAATTTCCACAGTTTTAACGTTTCTAGTTATCACCAAATGTCATTAGACCCTTTAAATGTTGGACTTTTGAAAACATGAGGAGAAAACTTGGTAATCGCTTTTTCTTGGTTTTTTTCCTGGTCGACGATCAGAACGCGACTTCATTCTCCGTATGCAAATTAGCCTTAGATGCGTGGTTTCAACAAATTGAATTGACAGGAAACATAACTGCTTATATTTCACATTTTTAAGGGAAAATATCTCTTAGAACTTTCCACGGAAAAACACGAACGATATATGACTTAGAATCCCCTTAGGTCTGTTTCACGAGGAAGAAGTAGTAGAAGAACATATGTTTACGCGAATTAAAATAATTTAATTACTGTGGTCCGTCACGCATTCCCCGAGAGTGGCTGTGTATCGATCAGTTCTTTTATCTGATTATATTTTTTTTGAAGTGATAGTTATTGATAATCATACAATTTAATCACTGTTAATTCCGATTCTTTATTGGGTGGGAAATACCGTGCTGTTGTATTTATTCATTCTACGACCGTTTTAACTGAGTCAGTATCCCCCGGAGTTACCGTTTTGTAGGGTTTAATATGACAGCCCATGGTGTAATACACGACAATTAGCTACAAAGTAGTCAATTGGACACGGCCACTCTTATTCACGAGCACTAGCACAATATTTTCAATTACAGAATCAAAAATTAATATTTTGGAAATAGCTCGCAAACAACTTCAGAGATACCGTGCGACACCATAGGACCACACCTGCAAAGTACTTTCATTTCCTAGATCCCTTGCTAACCATAGGCTATACAAACATTAGGGTGGTATTAACAGAGCATTGTGTTTATCGCCAATTAACAACATTTCAGTAAAAATGAGGAATGGCATGCAGAAAAAGGCATAGTTATTGTTTACGGTCCTTTTCAGTGTTAAATCCCAAAAGTTTTGCCGGCTGTTAATCACACTAAATTAAGGATCCATATGTTCACTCCTGAGCTGTTGGAGAAAAGCACGTGCAATCTTGTATGAAAGACGAAAGTTTGTCAACTAGGTCTCCTTTTCTTTCCCTGGATTTGAATGGTATTTTAAAGTGACACAAGATTTTTTTAGCATTACCACGTTGAACTGACTAGGTTGTTCTTCCTTTGACATACACATAGGTTGAAAGCTTCTGGTTGAGGGTGTTGTGGTCTCAATTCTTCAGCGATTTCTGCAACAAGCTTTTGCCTTTCGAACTCCTCGTCTTCTTGCAACAGATCTCTATGGTCAAGTTCAACTTGTATACACTTAGGATTATGTTTACGTGTTGACTCAAACGGGCCTAGAGTTCAACATGGGCTGGCAATAGGTGAGCACGGAATTGGAACGGGATTGGGGGGAACTCCCTATGA